CAGTGAATGCCGGCGTTCTCCAGGGCTCCGTCCTATCCCTACTCTCTTTCTGCTGCTTATGAATGACTTAATTCCTCTTGGGAATATGCATTGCTATGCAGACGATAGTACAGTGCATGCGGGGACGGGTACAGTGCATATCTCGGACAAGCAGCGGCTGGGCAGACGGTAACCAAGGAGAAACGGGAGAATCTTGTCATTGAACTCAATCAGGCCTTGGACCACATTTCCGAATGGAGTACCAGGAACTTGGTGGAGTTCAATGCCAAGAAAACTCAGGCTTGCGCTTTCACGGCAAAAACATCGCCATTCCTTCCCCTTCCCTCTCTTCAAGGCACAACAATGACGCTACAGAGCAACATTACCATGCTGGGTATGGAAGTCTGCTCAGATCTGATCCAAAGGACTACATCGAAACCGTGATCAAAACAGCTTCACGCAAACTCGGGAGTCTTGAACAAGGTGCGGCGTTTTTTCACGCCCGATCAACTGTGCAATAAGCACAGTACAAAACGCAAGTGCGGTCCTGCGTGGAATATTGCTCGCACCTCTGAGATGGCTCCGCCAAGTACTTGCTCGATGCTTTGGATTGGTTACGGCGGCGCGCGATCCGCATCATAGGCGATGAGGAGGTGATTAAACACCTCGAGCCTCTTCAATGACGCCGTGACGTGGCGTCACTAAGCGCGTTCTATCGTCTGTACCACGCCACGGTGAGTGTTCTGAGGAGTTATTCTCTCTTATACCACCTTCCCCTTTCCTTCAGAGGACCACGTGAGCTGGCCTACGTTGTCACCGTCTAACTGTGGCCACAATTCCAACGCGTACAAAGAAATTTGGTGACTCATTTCTTTGTGGCACTGTCCAAAAATGGAATGCTCTGCCCGCTCACGTTTTCCCTCCCTCTTACAAACTGGGATCCTTTAAAAGAGGCGTGAAGAAGCAACATGCAGGCTGGCAGGGTGAGGATGGCTGGTGTGGCAGGTAGAACTGCTGTATCAGCTATCTTCGCGTCTGGACTTCACCTTCACTCAACATCAGGTGGAGTGGAGTCACTTGTTGGACCTAAATGTAAAAAAAAAATCCCAATCCTGTGTAGTAACCACGTTGCAGAGGTACCACGGCATGGTAAATTAGCTGATCGACCCCGCAGCGGTCGCCCAACTGTTTTGACAGCAGCTCAGAAGCACTGCATCGGGTTTCTGGTAGCCGGCGACCCAACAATAAACGCCACCAAATTAAAAGCAGTAATACGGGCCGCCTCCGGACTTGAAGTTAGCACTCAGACCATTCGGAATTTCTTACACAAGGCTGGATTACGAGTACGGAGGTCTTTGCGAGCACCTTTGAATTCACTGGAACGTCAGCGACGGAGATCACAGTGGGCTAGGCTCCGGCAAAACGAAGAAGACGAAGAAGACGAAGAGGAAAACATTTAGCAAAACTGCCTCTTCTTTGACGAATCGCGAAACAGTACTCATGCAGATAACCGACGTGTCCGTGTTTGGAGAAGACCTGGAGACTCCGAAAGGCAAACAACGACCACTGGACCGGTTCAGCAAGGCGGGGAATCAGTGTCCTTTTGGGGTGGTATTATGATTGGGGCTAAAACGCCTTTAATCCCTTATCAAGGCTTCATGATGGCAGATATATACAAAACAGCCGGTATTGATGGAATTTTCAGACCTTTCCGAGTAAACCATGGGCACCAATCTGTACTGGTTGACGATAATGCGCCCGCATATCGAGCTCAACGAGTCAATGCTGCTCTCCGAGAATACGAAATCACAAGGTTAGACTGGCCTGCCGGCTCTCCTGACTTAAACCCAATAGAGCACGCGTGGGATGCTCTTAAGCGAGCATTTTGGAACCGGCTGCCGCCACCCCAGACAGTGCAGCAGCTCAGGGAAACTGCTGTTCAAGAATGGGACAGGTTACCACAAGAGATGCTGGATAACTTGATCCTCAGCATGCCCAGGATGATCTCCGCATGTGTTCTAGCCAGAGGAGGAGTTATTTTGTGTTAGATAAACAACAATTTATTGATAAAAGGTTTTTATTTCTATCAAAGTTCTATTATAATTGCCTTAGGATTGAATTATTAAACTTTTTATACTAAAAAATAAAATTAGTTTTATCTTGTAATTTCAGAAAGTGTATTTTTAAATAAATAAAGATGTAAACGGGTAAACATTTTCTCTTGATGAAGTTAAATTTTGAAATAATATCAGCTTTTACAAATAATCTCAAACTTTTTTTGATGTGTGTACTATATTGTACACGATGCTGCATCAAAAGACTGATGACAAATTAGACACTGCCGTAATAGAGGAAATCTAGGTAACTGGGTAGATACGTACGTAATTGAAAAATTTATGGCTGTTTGCCAGTCGATACGGGTCTCCAACTGTTTGTCCATGGTGTCGCAATCGTTAGTTCTGTGGCAACAAGTGCGAAAAGAAAAAAATACTTCGATTTTATTTATATTTAGAACTCTATTTTAATTGTGTAGTTTAACAAAGTTATCAAAAATATATTTATGGATATTATATTATATTATGGATTGAATGGTATCAAATTGGGGCTATATTCAGAGACGCGAATTAAATTTTATGCTTCTCAGGGGTGTGTTATCTTAATCCATTAAAAAGTTATCGATAAGTGAATTACAGCATCAACTTTAATCAAACTTTAAAATTAATTGACGACTGTTCAGCTCATAATATAACTTAACATGACACAGAAAACCAAAACTTCGGGTAAGTTTGTTTCACCATCAAATAAGACAAAAAAATGCGTAGAAAAATGTGTAAAATATTAAAGAAGTGGTGCTATTAAAGCCAATGACCAGTAGCAGGTGTGCAAGCAGTTCTGAACAGCATTTTGAACTGTTCTAGCTAGATGTTGTTTTTTTACTTTTTTCGTGCTTTGTATACTTACAATTTTAATATTGAAAAAATTTAGCTACATGCTATGGTTATGTTTTATTTTTCTTAATATTATATAACATTCTTTTGTTTGTTACCACTCACTACCTTACCAAAGTTTGAGCAAAATACTGATTAAGTCAATTCGGAATTTCGCCAGAACTACGATTAATTCAATTCGAATCCATTATGTCTACCAGCAGGGAAAACATCATATAGCCTTCAACCACACTTTGAAAGTAAAATAAGTACCTGAAGTTGTTCTAGATATGAATTATATAATAATAATATTATGAATAAACATCATTAACAGAAGAAATAAACTCTTACTTTCAACTGTTCAAATGAAATAATATAAAGTGTTAATACAAGATAATATTATTGATTGCTATTACCACACATCCCAGCACTGCGTTTTACTTAGTCAAATCAACACGTGATTGAGGCATTTGTACGAAACAAACATTATTCTTGAATCAAGCTAGAATTTCGTTAAGCGCAAGTCGTTAGAAAGTACCGCAAACGTAAGTAATTATTTGTCAAATGACCTTGTCAAAGCCAAAAATATAGAAACGATGTCGCAATCCGACCCGGCTTATGTCGGCCGATTATATACTTTTGGCATGCCTTAATGTCACTGTGGAACCAAATACGTCGGCAATTTATCATACCGCTAAGGTTTACCTAGTTTAGAGTGCCTAATTAGACGAAGTCCATCAATTATTGTTATGTTGCATCTATTTTAATTGGTAATATAATTGTTTAGCTTTAACTCTTTCCGCGATATTTAGTTACATAATATCAGAAATATAAAGCTATTCGGCAAAAACTAATCTTATAATAACGAATTCTCAATGTAGCAAAAACAATTACAAAACCAAAACAAATGAGGCACTGTGATTAGCGCATTCGGCATGAGAACCGTCAGTTTAGAAATATTTTTTTTGCAGACTTAAGTGCAATTCAGTAGGAACAAACTTACTTTACATTAGGATAGTGGAATTTGAAATTTGTATTCTAATTTCAAATGTTACGTGGATTCCGCGGTGAAACTTGAGTTTGTTTTTACAGAATATCACGGTTGGTAACTTGTCCCTTTTGTTTCCGGATAATATCAAAAGCCAACCATTCCATAATCACATCGTTGGGGTATAAGAAAATTAGTATGAGATAATACAATGTCTCTAGATATTTATAGTTCTCTATTTCTAACTCATCATTCGGCGTCATATCAATAATTCTTTAAAAAATAATTATTAAAAGGTACTTTGTTCATTTAAAGCAAATAAGAACTAAAACCAGTATTAAAAGCCGGCAAAGTTAAACAAAATTCTATTTAGTCGGTCGGTAAAAATGAAAACACTTCTTTTCTTTTGTCAATCAACTAAAAAATAACAAAGATAAAGGACGTCAAAGTATGGGAGCTCGTGACGTCACTATTAAGTAAAAATAGTACTAAGACGCGACGTCATGCGTCATGCTTTTCAAATTTATCTATAATGTCTTGCATATTTTAAAAAAGAAAAAATACGTACCCCATATTTTAGATATAATCTACCTGATAGACGAAGAAAAAGTTAGTTAACATCTCTATTATCGTGCAAATATGAATTACTAATTAAGAGTTAATTACTTCTTCGCCTCAATCACGTAAAATTGTAAAACCTACTGAGCTGCAATTGTTTTCTTTTTAATTTCATATAATGTTTTTTTTATATTTCCACAAATAGACATTTGGCTGCACTTGTGGTGGTCACAAGTGGACACTTGTCTCTATCAAACTAATTTGCACTTTAAAGCTTAATATTACATTAACGAATAAAAAAAAATAAAAAACAGAGGAACGGTTTCGAATCGCTGCGTGGCAAATGTTTGTGTGATGAATGCGAGCATTGCACCTTAGTCATGAATGTTTATTGTATTTCGAAATAAAAATTACTTATATATGTATCAGTATCTGTATTCTATCCGTTACCCTAGTATCCCATAACACAAGCCTTACAGTGCTCACTTTGGAGCAAGGCTAAGTAGTGTGGGTGTTAGAAATATTTATATATTTATTATTGTTCACAGGAAATGCCTCGGTGGGTTTGCCACAGTTAGTGAGTGGTGCCATGGGCCGACATGCCGTGCCCGCCCGCCAAAGACTAGCCTACGTGGCGACGCAGGTCCTCGTGATCAGATATTAAGGTAAATTGTAATTTTCTATGAAATTCACATATAAATCTCGACGACCTCCGTGGCCGAGTGGTTTGTACGCCGGGTTTCATGGTGTCGCCGACTCGAGAGGTCCCGGGTTCCCTGGGGGGGGGGGGGGGTTAAGATAATAATAATAATATTTTTTTTTCGTCACAAATGACATAAGGCTTTATAAAATCTTAAGTGAATTATATTATCATGTCGTCATTCGTGGGAGACTGGTTAAGTTAAGGGTTTTTTATGGTAAGCATCATCTAATGGGCGTACACTTGAAGTGTGTGCGTTTGCGTGTGTGGAGTATGTTTTATTGTATTATGATAATATCTGCAACAATTGTTCAGTTTCTGTGTACGTAGAGCCTGAAGGTATTTTAAAAGAGCTGGGCTTGTTGTAACATTATTTTGTTACAAGACGATAAAAGTGTTATAAATTGTGTCAGAGTTGTTCGTTTATTCTTGTCATCTAAAAATTCTTTATTATAATTAATTTGAAAAAGATTAGCAGGTAAACTAGTTTTGTTTTCATTATACTTATGTTGAGTTAGTTGCATGTGAAGATTGCCTATCAAATCATAAAAGACCCTCAAAGTCATCCAAATAAAAAAAAAACATATCTATGTATAATTATAAAGTTATATGTTACACATTTATAAGTGGTAATATTTAATTAAAAGATAATCTGACAATGTAATTTGCACTACTATGAGGTCAAGTTGAATGCAGAAATCCTCTGATAGCAATTATTTTATCAGATTTGGCTATGTAATGTTTTATTAAAATAACGCAACGTTTTGTTTATTATGAAACATTTGTGTTTTGTAAGATTTCTTTCCTTCCTTTTTGGGCATTCAAATACCATTTTGTCTATAACAAAACACTGGCGTCTCATGAGCTATGACGAGGCGACGTCGTTACGCGTACATTATTATACTTGTAGGTTTTTTCGTACAATTCATACTGTCATCTCTGGTTATGAACAAAAAAGCGGTGCCCCCATTTTGTAGAGAAACTCTAATACGCTTCTGTGTCAAGGCCATCGTTCAAATTGATATTACATCTTGTGAGAGTTTGCGGCAGCGCAGGTCGCGCTTGCCAACTTGCTTGTTGTCACGTTTTTTGCGCGCCCACTGCGCTCGCCAATTATCAAGTGTTCTCCCTGCTTTGGCACTTGTTGTTTCATAACGACTTTAGCTGCACTTGGGTCACGACAGACAGTTTACTTTGAGTACACTACAAGAGGAAACAATTTGATGTTTCTAGAATGAATTTAAATTTACGGGCATGAATGAGCTGGTTGATGTTGGTACCTATGTAAATCTGGATTCTGGTCAAATATATTTTGCGTTTCACTTATAAAGAACAATAATATTTTTGTAAATATGTTATTGATTAAATCTCATAAAAGCAAATTATACGCTGTGGATAATTTTGGAAAACTGAAAAATACTGTTTTAAATGATGTCCGTATAATATTAAGTGTTCCTATTCGTCTCTTCCAAAACAAATTAAAACTACATTATAAATAATAGGTATAAAATTAGTAAAACTAAAGAAATGTTGGTACAAATGAGAAACGAAAAGGTATAGTGACTGTGCATCAAAAAGATTAGTTATTCTTAGTCGCTGTTTCCGGACAATGCTTTTTAGATCCAACCAATTCTAAACGTAGAGTGAATCTTTCTTTCTGGCTCTTTGTATCGCTTTATGTGATTTATATTAATTATATTTTAATCAACTGCTCAGCCGTATATTAAATAATTTTTATTTTCATATTCATTTCGTACAGCAAAGGTAAAATATAATAACAGTCATTGAAATTGGTGCGTGCTAATAACTGCAATGTAGCAGTGATATAACAGAATTACGCGCCAAGGCACAAGGGTGTTCTACATAATTAAATTTTGGCCACTTATCCTATTAATGAAAGTTGCTTAATCCGAGACTTTTACCTCTGCAGCGCCGTTTAACTTCTCACCGACACTTTTATTTATTTAATGCAATTGAACTTGCATAAATCTGATATTGCGAAGAGGGGAGTGTCTGCCATTTGATGATAGGTCAACGAGCAACCGCTCTAAAATTAGCATCAGATAGGTACTAATGTCTCGCGATACTGCATGCAGTTAATGGACGCAAAGCGACCGCATGTCATTCCCATGATTAATTAGAAACTTTTGATCGAGCGAATTAGCAGTTACCAGTTGATACTGATTGGGTTAAGATCACTTTATAGGGTAATGTTTCCTATTGAAATCCAGCAATAAATAGTAATATTTAGTAATTCAAAACTGTGATGATTCTGAATTGCTCGCTGAATTCACTGCTGTAAAAATAAGAAAAAAACAAAAGAATAACTGAATAGCATAGGTATTCAAATTATTCACTCTTTAAAATAACTACAAAGTATATTGAAATATCCAAAAATGTGGTGGAAGGGTTAAAAACTGATAACTTTACAAAATAAATTTGTGTAACTTAAACGTATGGCCCTGTTTTATTTCAAAGGTTTTCCTCTTACGTACGAACAAAATTATTATGAATAGCGCAGTTAGTAATACCGGTTCTTAGGTAAATTAAGTAGCTGTTACATAAATTCATATTCGACCTTATAATTTCACTGGTTCAAGTGTATTGCATGATGATAATGGTATCATTGGCATCGCATAACTGTGTGATTACGTTATTGGTCGTCAATAGGTTTGATTTAAATAAAGATACAACATGACCCATTCGCTTGTCATATTTTGAGTGCATTGTTGCAGACCTTTCACTCTTCTGCTTTTAGACTTTAATCAGATCGTTCAGTTAAAATAACATATTAATAAGCAATGAGATTGACGCATGTCTTGATACGAATCTCGATATACGCGGTCAATATATTTCAAAATCTATTCCAAAAAATATTACTAGTACTTAGCTACATAATAATTACAATAGAATTTTATTATTTAGACTAGATCAAAAGATAGTAACTATTTAAAAAAAATGGCAAAAATAAAAACCGACTTCATATAAACAAAACTACTAGAAATAAAGATATAATATAAATCGGTTCACAATTAACGGAGATATGCGCGAACAACAATTAAAAAAAAATATGACGAATTGAGAACCTCCTTCGTTTAGAAGTCGGTTTTAATCAATGTAACAAATTGTAATAAACATAAATTCATACAGCATTCACAATAACCGTTGCGTAAATATCTGTTTAAGAACATTAACTAACGTAAAATCAAGCACAAAAGTAAGTAAGTACATAATCACTATAAAATTAGTTTTAATCTGTAAGTTCACATTAATGTTAACAGTCGTAATAATTTAAAATTATTGCATTCATCCATTGCAATTATGATTAAAGCGTCGGTCGTGTAAGCTACATAATGCTCTTCTTGAAAATGTTTTGTAATAGATCTATAGATCTGCTTTGAACTTATCATAGTCGCAATGACCAAACGTATGCTGTCTATTGCACAAAACGAGGATGTCGTTAATTACACGATCGGAGAGCCTTATAACCAATGATATAAAGGTGAATATTAAAAATGCATTTCGTTGCTAGCGGCCCATATTGCGCTGATTGCAATATGATCGAACTCATTGATCAACCATCAATCATCGGAGTCACGCTATGTGCGACTCTTGACGCACTTCACTACTGCTATACCGTAACATTAGCTGTTCAGAGTCTAAATAATAGTAGGCAACGTTTTATAGTTTTAATTAATGGTTCCACTATTTGACATATCAATCTGACCATTTATTTAAATCGATATACGCTGAACCTTACTGCAAGTTGTTTTTTCGCGGAGAAGTGAAGAAGAATTACAACGCGCTTTTCTCTCTAGTATCACAAGCTTGGTGACTCATTCTTATCTAATAATATACTTGTTTACCATACTTTTAATATAAAACAAATCTGAATGAATCCAGTTAAATTAGTTATTATAGTTACACTAGCAAACCAGTGAACCAAATGTTCACCAAAACCTGATTTCTCGAAAACCGGAAGTGCTACGTTGCTCAAATCCGGTTTATAGTCTTATCAGACTATTATTAACTTATAACTTAAATATTCTCTTTATCTATCTCTTACGGTTTGGCCGCTGAAACAGCACCACGGACAGACTGACTCGTCTAATAGATAAGAGACTAGCAAACCAGTGAACCAAATGTTCACCAAAACCTGATTCCTCGAAAACCGGAAGTGCTACGTTACTCAAATCCGGTATGTAGTCTTATCAGACTATTCTTAACTTATAACTTAAATATTCTCTTTATCTATCTCTTACGGTTTGACCGCTGAAACAGCACCACGGACAGACGGACTCGTCTAATAGATAAGAGATTAGTGGGTAATTCAAGTAAAATATCACCACACATTTCTAGCAATCCCTAACCTAACAGGTACGTTATTTGATCCCTGCAATAATAATTTACGTAATCAGTTACACTACTTAATAGTCAACAGACCCGAGCTTTCCGATATTTAAAATAGAAACTTCGATCTAATAGTGAACTCCCACGTGACTTTCGCAATGCGAGGTTTTGAAATTCACTATTTTAATATATATATTATTTTTTCTAGTAAACTTTTCTTTAGATTTAAACATCTAGCAGTTAAATGCTTTAAAAATAAATAAAATCATAACTATATTATTTTTTTCAATTTTATTACTTTACGATTAACGCAGTGATTGACAAGCGGGCGGTGGTCGAGGCGACCTTGAGAGCTAACTTCAGATCGCTACCGGAACGGAGGCTACCGTCCTTACACACGCCGACACATAGAAAGGGAAATAATTCTATTCTAGACACAATGCTGACTACTTTTTGCTAACACAAAACGCTTTATTCGAGAAATCAGCTAAAATAGTTCGTTGTGATTTATAAAATGACATTTAAACATAGGTAGGTAGATATAATAATATAAAGAAAACTTGTATTTTATAGAAATTTGCGATAATGTTTCAGTTTTTACAAATTTACTTTTTC